ATATATAGCTATACTTAGAATATACCATCGTTTAATTCGTGGCTTCAGTTTCGAAGGCCATGATATTCTCTACTTCCTCGAAGGCAAAGTTCTTTGCAGTGAAGTCACGTGCAGAGTCGCGTAATCTAAATAATGATTACATCATCAATGCAAAATATTAAAGTGCGATAATTAGATCCTCTGAATGAAAATATTTGAATATTCAATAGGTCAGGGATATTTGAAACTAAACCTATCTCTTCTTGGCTGTGATAAATACATGCGCCAGCATATCATGCTTATTCCCATTAAAATTTTAAGTTGGATACGTCTGATGTCAAATATTTTCTAGTTTTTCTGCATATATTAAAAGAAGATCATGTCGACGCTTTCAGCTAAATGCATGAAGTATGTATCGCAAATGATAAAGATTCGTCATAACTGCAAACAATATGTAACTTTCGAGTATGGAGTTTCATTCTTTCCTTTTCATTTATAAATATTTTTAGCAAGGTAGTTTTCAGATGTTCTTGGATGACTATATTTTAAAATAACATTGGTTTGTCTTAACGCTGACAGAGCTTCATTTCAGCATCTACTGCGGGCAACACTTTTACCCAAACTGCATCTGAATTAATACAGGGTGTTTATAAAATCTTTATACATTTATGCTTAAACAGGCTTTATTCTGAAATATAAGTTATTTACATGAAAATAAAACATAATAGTACAATTCATTAAATTAGTTCCCCTTGTGTGTCTAGGCACACTTGCCCACATTCCACTACACTCCGGAACACTTTATGTAAAGTTATTGGTGTAATTTCAACTCCTGCGACCATAATTCACTATTTTAATTGTTCATTGCTGTCAATCTTCGCTCGGTACACTTTGGACTTGACAAAACCCCATACGAAAAAGTCTAGGGAAGATAATTCTGCTGATTGTAGAGCCCGAAGTCGTTAAGAACCACGATCAATCCACCTATCAGGAAAAGTTTGGAGTTGCCTCTCCTAGTGGTAGACAATAGTGTCAATAATGTCGTCTGTTACGAGCTGTAGCTTAAGATATTGTTGCAACATAACCAGATAAACTGGTCCTTTCTGCGAACATGAAAAGTCCACAGAGCTTAGTTATTCCAATCCATATATTAACTTTACGCGTGTCTTCCTGAGATTCGTATAACACGTTTAGTTGTTCATTAGCCCTCGTTCGACAATTATGCCTATTAACATGGCCGCTGAGATGGAACGTGGCTTCGTCGCTAAAGAGAACATTCTCCATTAAGTTCTCATTATCCATAGCTTCTAATAAATCATAACACATGGCTTGCCCAGCTGCATAGTCCTCAGCTTCAAGCTTATGCAAGGTTTGAATGTGGTAAGCGTCCTTGTGTCAACGACAGCGTACAGTTTTCCAAACAGTAGTATGCGAAATACCGAGTTCCCGGCTGAATCTTCGTGTAGATGCCTGGGGGCTACGCGTAATCGCTTGTTGTACGCTTTGCTCAACTTGTGGCGTTATCGAAGATCTCCTAGAACGGTTTTTAACGCTACCTTTTCGCTTAAATTTGTTTACCAAGGTTTTAATAGCTCTTCTAGTAGGGGCTTGTTTTCTGAATTTGAGATCGCCTCCGAAGAAATTAGAATTACAACGAATTTTTCAAAAATGTATAGAGACTTTATAAACACCCTGTATTCCTAATTAACAAATTCTTAAACTGACTGCATTTACATTAGGTGATGCTTTGTAGAAATATCTACAGCAATAGAATAGTAATTCAATAGCAATAGAATAGTAGACATAATAAAGCAGTAATGCGATGGCTGTCTGAAAACGTTTCCAGCTTTCAATATGTAGATCTCAACTGAAATCAACCTGCAGGGGACTTTTTTGGGCATCACTTCATTACTAACAATCAAACTTTCAGCTATTTTGAACGGGAATATTTTGTTTGACAATTACTTTTGTGAGCTAATGTGACCGTTTTTGTAAAAATGGAAAAAAAAAGTTAGTATCGTTCTGTCATTAGATACCTGTTTCTGAAAGGTAATACGCCTACTCAGATTAAAGAGGAGTTGGACACAGTGTACGGAGACTGTGCACCATCATTTACTACTGTGAAATTTTGGGCAGCTAAATTTAAACGTGGGCGTACCAGCTAGGATGACGATGAACGTTCAGAACGGCCAAAATCTGTAACCATTGAAGAAAACATCGCTAAAATCCACCAAATGGTGCTTATGATCATAGAATCAAGGTTAGAGATAAAGCAGAGGCTAATTAGCATGTCCAAAGAACGTGTTTGCCACATACTGAACCAAGATTTAGATATGCGCAAGCTGGGTGCACGTTGGGTGCCGCGTTTGCTCACTCTGGACCTAAAACGTGTCCGAATGAACATTTGAACGGTCCAGTTGGCGCAAAAAATCGGAGTGTTTACGACTATTAATCACTGTAGATGAACCCTGGATTCATCATTACAGCCAGTAACAAAAACATTGTTAAACAGTGGACTGCAAAAGGAGAATAGGCTTCAAAAATGGCAAAAACTGTTCCTCCTTCTGAGAAAGTGATGGCAACAGATTTCTGGGACAACCATGGGATTGTCTCAATAGACTGACCTGACTTTGTTGTAAAAGTCTTACTGTGTTAATAGTCATCCTGGCAGAAGGGAATATTTCCTCCGTGTAAAAATATAAATATAAATATTACATGGGCATACAAGGCCTGTGTATAAGCCTAGATATGTTATTTACAAACATTGTCTTGTACAAGTTGTAAGGATCCTAAGTTTTACTAACGTTTATTTTATTTTAAAACTGTACTATCACTTCTTATTTTCTACTTCCGGCCAGAATTAAATGCTTTATTGTTTATGCAAATTGTCTTGCTAACGCCTAAGTAATTAAGTTAATATTTACAATACTTTTTGCCAAGAGAAAGAGGAAGGAGTAATAGGAAGCAAGCCGCTTGCCACTGTAGTTTTACGAGTTTTCACTCGGTTGCTGGTTGCCTTTAAGCCCAGAGGTTTAGCCCTCTTGATAATTGCAGACGTATCGTAGTTTTAGCAGCTCGGCGTACTAGATACGTACCTTTTTTAAATAAAGGCCAATCTTAGTGTTAGGCATTTGTATACTAATTCAAAGTTAATTTTTAGTTATAGTTTCAATCAGCACTTTTTATATTCTTACGTTCAGACCACAAGTGGTTGGTATTTGTATTCCTAAGCTCGGAAGATCCTGTAAAAGATTGAAAATAAAGGGTTTCGTATACCCTTCTGCTTGTGTTGTCTACTTCACACTTTCTTGAACATAGCTTGAGTAAGCTCCCTGTTCCGATTCAGGACCATTCATGGTTCCAAAGCAAATCAAGAGAAATACAAGTCCTGATAAAGTTACATATGATAGTTACATAAAATCATGACAGCTATGTGTACATTTAAACATTATCTGAATTCATATTTACAGTACTTTTACTGAGATAATCAAAGTAAACTTGTAATTCATTTACACATTGGCTGGATTTTCAATATCATTTAAACTGCTTTACAATATTATTTTTATCAAGTACATACAAACTGAATAGTAATATGCTTACATTACAATAGTTTTGCTCTTACAGTCCTGTAACTATTCTACGGGGTGAGCTATTTTTCTAGTGTTGATTTTCAGTTGTTGTAGTATTTTGAATTGCTATTAAAATTATGCTGCGAAGATACAATTCTCAAGGGAGGAGGAGAATTTCCTAGTACCTTGCCGAGCATAGCCTGATTACCTCCTCTATTTTAGTTTTCGTCTGCTTGTTGCCGCAGGTATTCTCTGCCCATTGCGGCCAGTATTCACTGCTTGGCATTTTTAAATGCACTTTCTCGGTTTGTGTGCAGTTGTCTAAATAGACTATCTTCAAAAGCGAAAACCATTACCGCAGCATACTATGCAACGTTACTTGACAAGCCGAAGGTAGAAATTACGGAAAAACAGCCACATTTGCGAAAGAAAAATAACTTGTTTCACCAAGACAGTGCTCCATTTACACCTCAGCGGTTGCAATAGCGAAAATCCATGAATTACTATTTGATGCGCTTGATCAACCGTGACTTTTTTTTGTTTCCTAAGCTAAAAGAAGCACTTGGAAAACAAAGATTATCGTCAAATGAGGAGACTTTGCAGAGAAAGATTATGAATATTATTTGGGCGGGATGGAAGCATCCCTGGAAGAAATGTGTCCAAACATAAAGGTAATTTTGGAGAAAAAATATCTTTGTTCTTTGTTAGGTCGAAAACCTTTAAGACAGCCTACGTATATGTAGAATATGTAGCGGAATCCTAGACTGTAAATTTAAATTTTAATGTAAATGTTAGACTGGGTTGGTTCTCAGTAAACTTTCACCTGCATTAACAAAAAGATGCTATTGTTGACATTATCACTCAGGTTTAAAAAGCAATTAAAATAATATATCCACAAACCGGTGACGTTAATAAAGATCAATGGGCATTTGCATCAATGAGCTTTGGCAAACTTTAAAAATTTACCAAAGCAAATGTTTGAAATGCTAATTTTTGTAAGAGCTGCCTAAAAGCTCTCCCTGATACTGTTTCCTGCACCATGAGATCGCTGGTTAGTTTATATAACAGCGCAAAGCACGCGAGGACTGTCTGCTGTGGAAAGGATACTTTCGTGGAGGACTTTCGAAGGAAACCGGTTCACATTCATGTTGGTTTGGTTTGGTTTATTTAATTATGGCAGAGCCTCAAGGGCTATCTGCCTAGGGGGAAGGATGTCTTCGTGGAGGATTTTCTAAGGTAAACTGACTCATATACGCGCTACACCTGGTGTTCTCGTTGGGAAAACCTTAAAACTGCATGCATACCATACTCAGCTCATTCTGTGATAAGCGAATCCAGGACGAAATACCGTTCAGTCATCTTCCAATGGCGGCTTACAGGCAGAAATGGTGGCTTACAGGCTTTACAAGCAGAAAACCGAAACAAACCAGGGCAGGCAAAAATATAACTCACTTTTTTTTCATCCGGAACTGGCTGCAACACTGAGAACTGTCTAAACGCTAACTAATCAGGACAGATTATCTTCAAAATCTAATTCTTCTTTCTGCTTCTAATTTTTTAAATATATTTGATTAAATTTTGATTCTTCTGGATAGGGCTGGAATGAAGCAAGAGAAATGAAAAGAAATCAATTAAACTAAAGCAAACAAAGTGATTAGTTAATTAAAACTTTAAAGTTTTTAATTACAGTTTATACAGTTTATAATTTTAGGAATATTATAGTTTATAATTTTACGAATACACAAGCAAGAATTAATTACAGTTTATAATTTTACGAATACACAAGCAAGAATTAATTACAGTTTATAATTTTACGAATACACAAGCAAGAATTAATTACAGTTTATAATTTTACGAATACACAAGCATGTAATACTTGTACAGAGCAATAAGAAAGCAATACACCTTAGAAGTATTTTAAATAATTTGACGAAAATGTGAGCACTTGTTAGACATTTTAATGTGAAACAAAGAACACAAATTACCCCCCCCAAAAAAAAAATCGATTTAACGGTGGCTTAGATGATATAAAAAAAGCAGCGTTCTCTGAAAGCATCGCCGTTGAGAGCCGAGAAAGGACCCCAACTGCCCCCTTCTTTCCAACTTAAATGGCAACCTTATCTACTTTAGTGCCTCAGGAAAAAAATTGATCAGGCAGTCAGAGGGCCCTCTGAGAGGCCCGGGGTCCCTAAATCCATTTAAGTTTACCCCCTTTCACCCCAAACCTGTGTGAAAGTATAATGATAAAGAAAATGGATCTATAAAAGAAGAAAGAAAAAAAATATTATTTCTTATTTTGTTATTGATACTTTTGCAACGGATTTACAATAAACTATAAGTCATTTTGAATTTCTTCCAGGAGTCATAATTGAATTAAATTTATTGAAGTTTTTTATAATGCAAGCAAATGCAGCCAGCATGAAATTTAACCAAAAAGTTCTGATTCTTGCAGACCTGTTTAACTACAGTATGATTAGACAGTCAAATAATACACTTCTTGATCGCGGATGAACAACTTTACTGAAATGCGTAGCATTCAAGTTAAATAAACCTGCATTTTATACAATTATATAAATTCTAGAACTTTCTAATAAAAAATTTCAGAAATGCAGAAATTATAAAATCCGTAATCGAAATGAGTAATTTTTGCGAATAAACATTTTAAGCGATGGCATGAGAATTTTAACGATACTTTAAAATTTTTTTAATATTTTAAAAAAAAGTTGGCAAACTGATTTTAACCAAAGATATATCAGGTAGTATTTCTATTCAATGATCGATTAAATCAGTAACACACTTATAGCTTTATAGTTTACAATTCTTAGGTATAGATTTACAATTACATTTATATATTTACAAAGATAGATTTGTGACACAGCTTATAAATAAAATAGAAATTTTTGAACAATAATCTCTCCGTATCTGTGGGCAGTTTATCTGCCGTGATTGTATAAAAACGTGAGCAAGACCGAATGCTGTATATCAGCGGTCTCAAACAGAAAATAAATAGGAATTTTTGCATTAAGAAAGATTGCTTTGTTCGGGAATGAATTTATATTTATATTATTATTATATATTTATATTATGAGTTTATTTTACAGAATTTTTTCACAGTTGAAAATTAATAACAGAATTTATTATTGAAAATTAATAACAGAATTTATTAATTTTCAGCTGGGAAAAATACTGTGTTTTCAAAGGTGTGGAATGCGATGGGCATCTGCATTTTGTGATAAAGATAATTTCTAATAAATTTCTTCTCCAAGGCTACATACTTTATCAAAATTAAACGCTATCAAGTGTCAAGCTGTAGTAAGGCATAAAAGAAGTTTATAATTATTTATTGTAATATGTATTTTTATTTATTGTAACATGTAAAACATGTATTTCTATTTATGCATGGAAGAAAAATGTAATAAGAGAAAAAGACTAAGCTGCCATTATTAACACTCAGGTTTTGTCTTACTTAGAAATTTCATATTTATTCGAGTTTTCATATTTTACAATTAGAGTTTTCATAAAGTCTTTCAGTTTAAATTAAAGTAAGTTATTTAATGATTAATTAAATACCTTAGAAGTATTTTAAATAAACGTCAAAATTTACTATTTAGCTGTCGATATAGTTTGAATTACGAAATGTAAGTAAAAAAATATCTTGCAGGTACCAAACTTTAGATTTCAGAAAGAAAATAATTTGAATTTTTTTTCTTTGCGATATTATTATTGTTTATGCATGTTTTTAAAAATACTTAATAATCGAAATTTAAAATTTATTTAGAACATTCTTTATTTTGTTAATAAAATTTTAAGAATTTTGTTAAAACATTCTTTATTTTACTAATAATGTTTTAAAAATTTTGTTAAAAAAATTGTAGCCCGTCAGGTGTTTACAGATGGCGCATGCGGTCTAAGGGCATTTGAGTTTAAGACCTTTGCTGTAGAACGCAATATCAGTTCAATATACACAAATACGATTAATCCTTTTTCATCAGTAATTTACAAGGAGATACTACTAACGTTAAATAAAACGACAATAAAATGCTATGTGCTAGATTCATTTTCAGGATACTTTCTACTTTTCTTTTATTGCTACTTTCACCTACTAATTTATGTGATAAAGCAATGAATGATAAAAATATTATGTTTGTATTTTACAGTATTATTAAAATATCAGGAGTTCATAAATCAAAAATCGTGTTTTCTGTCAAAGCATCGCGTAAGCAATGAAACGTTGCACAGTGCGGCAAGATACCTTAAAACTCGATCTTTATTCAAAAAACATATTGCTACTATTATTGCCAATATTTTGAAGATAATAAAATGAATATTTTGGTTATAATAACTCGTTCCCCCTACCCATGCCTTAAATTAAAACGTGCGGCTGTTAAACGGAAGTTTCTAGTCGAACTTTTGCTAGCAGGATATTTGATTTAGTTGATAACCATTTTATTTTATTAATTTGACTATTTCACATGAATATGTCAAATTCATATAAGTATAGTTTAATATTGTTTCATAAGAATAAATTGAATTTAATTAAAAAAATTAAATTTAAATACATTTTTAATTAAATATTCTTTGCGCCATTGCTGCAAGGAATGAAATGGATTTTGCACTTGATTTGCTTATGCTTCTGAATTTAAATAATATTGTAGATTAGTTCGAGAATTAAATCTTTTACATGTTTGCACATTTTTTTTAAAAATTATTTTGGCTTTTTTATTTTTTTAGAATTTAAATTTGCTTTTTTACTTTTATAAGTATAGTTTAAAACATATTTAACATTTTGCAAACAAAGTTTAAATTACAGCCGTTAAAATTTGCATTTGTAAAATGTTCTTCATAAAAATGAGAACAAAGAAAACGAAACTGTTTAATTTTATTCCAAGTCAAATCGAGTATTTCTGTTTACATGATGGTATGATTACTACACATATAGCCCGTATTTTATTGTATATTTAGGACTAATAGCAGACCGCTATTTATTTTTATTTTTATTTTTATTTTTGTTTTGATTTTTGATGTAATCGGAATAGTTTTCACATATTTTAACACTTTAATGTGCCATTTTGTGCGGACGCGTCGGGAAATTTAACAGAGAATTGAGACTTATAAATTTTCCAAGACACTTTGTCTAATTTAAATTTTGTAGCGAAAAAGTTCCAATTGTCTGTTCGGCGAAACGCGTAATGGAATTAGCTTGATTCGACGTTCAATTAGATATTTCCCTTGAAAAGCCAGATTGGACCTCGAATTCAGCTAATTTACCATTTTCCGCTTTCTATTTTTATCTGATTTTGTTTGTTTTATGTTTTAACTTGTGCCTTGGTTTGATTTTCATATGTTTTAATTTTTCAAGTGTCACATCCATAGGTATTTTATTGTATTTTTTTGCCATTACTAGTTTACAACGCTAAGTATTTTACTGTGTTTATTTTCTTTTCTCGTGTAGCATAATTTCTCACCCTTCAATGACATTGTTTTTTTAAAATGTGCTGAACTTTTTTGGAGCCACAGCTCCTGGTAACTTTTAGGCGAGCTTACTACAATTTCTAATTTACTTAATTTTGCAGCATATTGCGCAAAATGTTATCTTAACCAAATTGGTCATACAGTATTGTACTAGCTACCTTGCTTGTTATATCATACAATATTGATATATATTGATTCGAAACATATTAATCGACTTTTATGAAGCTTTGATTCATTTTTCCCTGATGAGTTCTGAATTAGAGTTTCAATAAGAGAAGATTACTTTTTATTTGTATAATTTTGTATACTTGCCCATTCGCATTATTATTTTTCGAGTTTGTTCTACTATAAATTCTTTCTTTAATTGTATTTATTTTGATATTGTGTTAAATTTCTTATACACGGTTGCAATTATTATATTATAGAACTGCTCTGCTTTTATTCCAATTTAATAATAATTTATATGCTTTGAGTTTATTCTACTTATATCCTGCAGCTATAGCGCAGGATGGGTTTAAAAATACTTAACTAATTTTAATAGTTAACTATTTTAGGAAACAATTCTAACAATGTAACAAGAAAAGAATTCTTTAACATCTAAAGTAGGTCTGATTAGAATAAACTGAAAAGAAAAATTAACGGTTTTACGAAAACAAATGACAAAACTAATGAAGCGCATCTAAAAGCCGAGTATCGAAAATGATCCCATTTTTAGATCCGAATTCAAGTCTAAACAGCTGCATGTAAGAAGATCAAAAGCTGGTGAACTAGCACCAGAGCTTCTGATTAACACCACCACAACATTGCCAAATAGTATTGAATACTTCGACGCCAAACAGCATCTAAAATTAATCTAGGAATCACATAGCCCTAGTCAGACGTTGCAGTTTCCGCCATTCTTCAAGTGCTATGAATCTTTAACAGCGAAACACTGAGGACGCTTGACATTAACTTCTGAACAGAATAATGATCATAGCAATCCTATATTTTTGGTGCAAAATTAAAATAGTTTGACTCAGTTGACAGAATGCTGAAGAAAGATGAGAAGAATGAAATATAACAATTTGAAATAACAGTAATACGCAGATGGATATACAGGGCGTCCA